AATATAAGCAGTATCTCCAGTCCAGCAATGAGCATAATTAGTATGCAAAGTGAAATTATGCAGAAATTCTCCTAGCCATGGCTGCCACTGATACTTCAATATTTATGAACAATGTGTCTTGGGTTTAAATGAGGCTATTACTTAATACGTCTCCAGATATTTGGCAAGTATAATTTACTTGTGTAGCCCAAGGCAATGAAAGTCCCTGATCTGTATTAATTAAAAATGGGGAGAATTACATGCATTGATCTTTAATTAGTCAATGGAGCATAGTTTGCAGATTCTTGTTAGGTATTAATAGAAATGTGTGTTAGGGGATATGGGCAAGAGAAGAGAAAAATGGATGTGTAATTGAGCTTGCCTCTGATAATTCATTTTATCACATAATTCCGGCATGATGCAGTTGCTGCATCTCACTTGCTGATCTTTTTCACCTGCATATAAGAAACAAGAACAACAAATAACAACAACAGCAACACAATCGGATGTGAGGTATGATTGATATTTGTGACTTTGTTTTCAGAAAGCTTTTGAGTCTTTATTAATGAGGCAGAGGAGGAAGGCTAACAACAGAGACAAAATGAGGCCATATTTTGGATAGGTTACAGATGTTCTGAACTTGGCAGAATAGTTTTTTTTAATATAGGACATTTGTTGTTTTGCCAGTAGCTTGGTTCTACATACAGGCTATTCAAGCTATACATTTTTGGTAAAACTTTCCTTTTTTATTATAAATATAGAGAGTTTATTCCCTGTAAAGTATTTAAGTTCGAGTGAACGAGCTGAAAAGAGTACTTTGAAAGATGATTGCTGGAAATTAATAATGCAATGGAAAGATTGTGGAATTCAGTTGAACCCTGTTGACAATAAAGCTTTGATGCAATTTGAGAGACATGTCACCTCTGTATTATCCTTACATTCTATAATATTGAACTTCACAAAAGGACAGAAAACCCAGTGAAAGAAAGCAGCTTGTTAAATTAGTTTCTTTCTCTCTCTCATTACCTCCCCACCCTTTTTACTCCTGCCATACATATACATACATACACACATACATACATGTCCATCAACTTCTACTTTAAAAAAAAGCATATTATGCTGGTAACGTTTAGATAACAGCTTTTCCAAATTATCAAGAGTGGAAGAACAGTCAGTCTAGCCAATTGTTTTTCTTTAGAGCATATGAACCATTGTTCTTAATATGGTATTTCCTTTAGGGGGTGTACACAAAAGAGGAAAATGCAATCTTAATAAAAATTGATACGTTCAGAACATTCTGGTATACTTTTCTGGGTGTTATATGGAACAAAAAATTTCTCCACTGCCCTATATTTGCATGGGACAAGCCCATAGAATGCAGTGAAAATGTTAAATGAGTATTTGGCTCTATTGTTTTTCATCCTAGGATCACAAAAGTTGTTGCCTAGGTGTCAGTCCATGTCAAATCCCCCCCCTCCCCCCGTAATATTTTTTTTTAAAGTCCAACAGGAAAAAATGGAAGCAATATCCTTTTGGAACTTCTTCCTGCAGAAATAACCACAAGTTTATGCCCAAAAATGCAATAGCAGTGAATGTATTTTAACTCGGCCCATGAACAGAAAAGATTAATTCTCTCTTTGCAAAGGTCAAAGAAAGCAAGATGATTTTTGTATTTTGCAACCAAAAACCCAGCAGTATTATAATATGTAATAGGATTTTATTACAAGTATTAAAGACAAAGAATTTTAAATATGCTTTTTAAAATTTAGCAACATCTGAAAACAAAATACAACACACTTAGACACACATAGCAAATAAGGAACATTTTCTATAATAAATCCATTAATTCTATGCTAAATATTTAAAAATGTATAATGAAATGTAGACCTGGACAAACGGTTTTTTTTTCTTACTTCTAAAACTGTTTATGCTTAGACGACTTACCTTCCCTGCTATCCTTACTTCCTTTCAGTTATTTCTGCCCATTGGTAGAAGAGGCTTTTTTTAAATGGCTAATGCACTCTTCAGAATATTTTTGAAACAATATAGAGTTTTGTCCTAGTATTTTTACCTCAAAATATATTGACCTTGGAATGGTTTGAGTATGCTCAATTTTCCTTTTGAAGGAAAGAGGGATTGTGTTGTTTTCCTCCTAAGAGAGTTTTCAAAAATTAAGCAAGCAACATCATGTGGTATTGTGGAAACAACAAGAACAGCAACAAAACAATGATTTGATGATGTTTTGTGTTGTTACTATGATTTCTATGAGCACTTGGTAAATATGGATGATCTAATAAGTCTGCAGCTTTTTTTCATTTGGAGAACTGACTTTACAAATGAGCATATACAAGTTCTTTTTTACTTGGGCCAGTGAGAACCCACTTCAGATGAGAAGGGACACTTTCCCTAATATTTTGGAGTTCATTAACATGGGAAGTAAGTCTTTAAACATGCTGTAGATAAAACTTAAATGATTGTCTCAAAAAGGTTCTTCATATGAGGTCATTCAGAAGACATGTTTTTATCCAATTATATCCTAAAATTCTGAATAAGCATAAAGAAAAAGATAGTCAAGCAATTTATTACTTTTCCTCAAACTCCTACAGTTGAACATAGGGGAATTGTATGAGTAATCCTAAAATACTTCTCTCTGGTTTCTAAAGATGTCACCAGAGTAGATGTGTATACTAAATTGTAATGCAAACAGATGGGATGGGATGGGATGGAATGGAATGGAATGGAATGGAATGGATTAGAATAGAATAGAATAGAATAGAATAGAATAGAATAGAATAGAATA